TCCCTTCACCTGATTCTTTTGTTAGACACTCTAGACTTTAATGATTTCCTTTTGTTTCTGTGTTATTTATTGGCTTTCCAATGACCCCCCGATGGCTCAGTGGTAAAGCACTTGGCAGTTTAACTGAATGGTTGGTGGTTCAGACTCACACACTGTGGTGAAAAGACTGTAAAGATCAGAGGACAAAGCTCTATGTGTCAGTTCAACTCTGTCACATTGGAGTTATTTATATCTGAAAATCCAACACCACAGTACTTGACAACCTTGGCATTTCTACTATGCTTGTTTCTTGAGTACCAAGGTCTGGATTTATAGAAACCACACACACACACACACACACACACACACACACACACACACACACCCCAACCCCCAAAAACAAAAATCCAACCAAACAACAAAAGACCAGAGAATTCCTCTTTAAATTGCTCCTCAGGTTTTAATATTCCAACCCAGTCCACCCTCTTTTCTCCACTTTTCAGAATCCTCTGATAGTTTCCATATGTTTGGTTTTATTCAAAACTTTTTGATAGTTTCCATATGTTTCTTTTTGTTCAAAACTTTTTTATAGTTTCCATATGTTTCCTAATAGAAAACATTTCAGGACTTACTGCCACCAACATTCAGAAGATCATAAGGCATGATACAGGCACCATTTGATCTGAACTCTGGTCTCTCTTGGGACTTTAAATACACAGCTCTGTCCAGGCACAGACTATTTAATCCCAGGGAGAGAGCTTGGACGTAGACGACTTTCTGCCACATCAGAATCCTTGGGTCTTTTTACCACAGCATGATGAGATCACGCTTTGTTTCCCAGGTCACTGTGTAATGCCCTAATTCCTTGTCTCTGCATGGCCTGTTCCACTGTTACAGGATTTTCACTGTTAAGGGGCCGTTTCTAGACATGCTGAGATCATTTCGTGAACGGTAAGATACATACTTGAGATTAATCTTGGAAACTATAAAACTGAGGGAAATATACCAATGTCCTAATAGAACCAAAGACAAACAATCCAATTAATGCACAGAAGACTTGAACAGACATTTCTCCAAAGAAGAGAAATACTGTCATTCTTGTGTGCCACTGAGGAGGAACAGACTCATAGCTGACCCTCCCGTAGGTTTTCGGAGGCTATAAATCACACAGGAGATTGCAATCTGTCTCCCTGGCGCAGCTGGTGGATCTGAATCACCTGCCTGTGGGCTGCAGCACAGCTCCTTACTACCAGATAAAGCATAGACGATAGTGGCCATAGTAAGATGTTCAGCACCATTGTTCATGTTGTTGCTGTGACTCACAGTGACCCTAGAAACAGCAGATTGAAGCCTTGCCGCTATCCTGTACCATTCTCACAATGCTCCCCAACCCAAGCCCGCTGACAGTCAATATATGGGTCCATCTCAATGGAGAGTCTTCCACTTTGCTAACCCTCCACCTTCCTAGGCATGATATCCTTTTCCAAGGAATAGCTTTGCCTAGCAACTTGTTGAGTCCGTTCTGACACAGAGACTGCGTGTAAAACAGAATTAAACAGCACCAGATCCCGAGCCATCCTCACAATGCGATCCCACTGTCACGGTGACTTTGTCAGTTTGTTTCTTTGAGAGTCTCTGACTTGTTTCTGGAACCTCCACTTTAACAAACATGCCATCCTGTTCTGGGACTGGTCCTTCTACATAATGTGCCCCAAATATGTGATACGAAGTGAGGCTTTCATTCCAGTTGTATTTCTTCCAAAATAGATTTATTTGTTCTTCTGGAAGCCCATGGTTTACTCAATATTTTTCTCCAACACCTATGAAGCTCTTGTTGATAGATGGATAGATAGATCAATAGATAAACGAGGGAAAGATTTATTTCAAGAAAATGACTCCTGTGCTTGTGGAGGCAAGTCCCCTGTCTGTAGGTCAGACCTCAAGATGGAGACATCTGCAGAGTCAGCATCCAGGTCATCAGCAGACAGGCAGGCTCCCAGACTGCCTCTTTGGAGGCTACCCACTCCAGTGGTGGGCATGTCCAAAGGCAGTGCTTGCAAACTGGGTCTGAGCTAGCTGTTGTTACGCGCTAAGGAGCAGATGGCGACTCATCGCAACCCTGTGAACCACAGACTGAAACCCTCCGATCCTACGCCATCCCCATACTCTCCTCCACGCTCGAGCCCACTGCTGCAGTCACCGTGTCACTGTGTCCGCTGATCTCATCGAGGAGCTTCCTCTCTGCCAGTGGCCCTCTCCTTGTCAGGCTGATGACTGCAGTCGGCTGTTACAGTGCAACAATGGACACTCCGATTGCACTCAGGAACACAGATTTACATGTCATGTAATGATAAAGCACATACTGTAGACGAGATGAGGATCCAGAGGGAGGAGGGCAGGAGCAAAGGGGTGAGAATGGGATGGGTGTGGGCGGGCGTTAATTACAGGGTCACACAATTTGATGGGTGGAATAAATGAGAAAGATCCAGTGTGAAAAACAATGTATGCAAACTTTATAAATAAACCAGTATAAGAATAATAATAAAATAATAAACCATATTAAAATTTTCTAAATGATAAAGCAAGAAAGACTTACTACACAGGATTTCCATAGCCCATGATTTTTAGTTTCACTGTTTTGCTAGTACTGGTTTCATTGTAAATAATTCTTTGAAAAGCTAGTGGGAAAGTCACCCAAAACCCTCCCTGAAAGAGGAAACTGCCGTTTGCCTACTTGGACATCTCGTGCATTGTCTCTACACAATCACAGCTTTGCGTGTACTTTTTACACTGTCCCAGGAAGGCTCTAGCTCTGTTTTCTTCTGACCACGTCAGTTCTTTCCTTGCCATTCTAAGTCTGTATCTTCATTTCAGGGGCTGAATGTTACTGGAATACCTAAAAATTTATTCATTCTCTTACTGACAAATACTTAACTTTTCAATTTAATGATAATATCTTTGCATAGTGTTCCTCACTTTTGCTAGTCTTCTAAACAACACTTCCAAAGCTAGGATTACCAGGTAACATGGTATCATGGTGCACACTGACCCAACTAATCTCAAAATTAGTGGCCTCAGTTGCACTGCCAACCTAGAAACACCCAGTTCGAATCCACTAGCTGCTCCACAAGAGAAGCATGGGCGGGCGGTATCCACCAGTGTAATTTACTGCCTCTGAAACCCTGTTGGGAGGTCAGCTCTAAGTTCTGACTCGATAGTACACAGTCTAACTAGTTGAACACTCTGGTGGCACAGTCCAGCAAGGGTTTGCTGCTAAGCCAAAGACAATGACTCCAGAGATTCCAATTCACCAGTGACTAAAGAGATTCTAATCCACAAGCAGCTCCAGAAAAAATGGGCAAGCTCCTCTCATGCCTCTAAAAACACCTTAGAGGCTCAACTGTGCATTCATTCCAAAATGATACCAAAGCACTGAGTCTCACTCAAAGGCTCCATGGGAGAAAGATGGAAAATCTCCTCCTGTATGATTTAAAGCCTCAAAAAGCCAATAGAGGGACAGCTATATGCTGGTTCTAAGTTGAGAGCAATGAGATGATGAGAATCTCAAAAAGCTCATGTTGCTAACACCTACAAGAGATGGTCATCAGAGAATGCTGTGTAAATGGCAATGCACTTCATAAAGTTTCATTAAAATGTGAGTTTGCTCTTTTTATTGGTGACGTGGCAATAGGGATGAAACGTGTCAACATTAGGATCCTTGAAAGCGTGCATGGAGAATGGCTACAGCAGAGGGGGCAACATGCCCTAAGCCTGACAAAAAGTAATGAGGAGAAAGCAGTTATTATCAATTCAAGTTTATTAAGAAATATTTTGTCATTAACTACTTCAGAGTTACTTTCAAATCCTACCTTCATGAGTTAGTCCAAAAATTCAATTGTGTAAATAGTAGTGTCAAAGTAGTAACAGTATAAAAAAGTCTATAAAATACAAATAATATTAAAATAACACTGTACATAGCTGATGATACTGGACACAGAAGTGAAATTAGAGATGGATGTCATTCACAAGTCTCTGTGCTCCAATCCGTATTATCTGGAGAACATTATTACATCATTTCTGTATTTTAGGAAATGTTTATTTCTTGGGATTAATATCAAAGATTGTTAAGGGAGCTCTGATGGCTTAGAGGTAAGGAGTTGCACTGCCAACCCAAAGGCACAAGGGTCGAATCACCAGCTGCTCCAGGGGAGAAAGACGGGCTGTGCAATTTTCTGCCCCGGAAAGTCCACTGGAGGGTCAGCTATGAGTCGGTTCTGACTCGATGGCACATTACACCACCACCAAATGTTAGAGATACTTGTGGGATTTCAGGTGAATTTAGGACAGGGAATTGACTGTCAAATATCTGTCTTAACTGTGGGGTCTTTCTCAGTATTGAGTAATTATTCAGTAATTGCTGAGTATCTGTTACCAAGCCAGGCACTCTGTGTTTTACATGGTGGAAAATGAGTGGGAAAAACTTCTTCTCTAAGTGCTTGTTACATACAAGTGTAGTTTCCCCCATTGCTGCACTGTTGTTACCAATCCTTCCCATGCTGCTCATGTACATGGCCTCTGAGAAGAGTCAACATTAATAATCGGGACATTCTGAACTTGGACCTAATCACTGATAATACTGGGAAAACAAGGAAGCTTTCTCTTCTCTGTGGAATCAGATATTTAGAAAAGATTCATCTCCAACCAAGCCGCTAAAACACAATAGAAGCCACCTCTTCTATGAAGAGCCTTTGATGATGGATCTACGTTCTCAAGGAATCACTTTGCACCATCCTCAGCCCGTCAAATAACAATATAAAGCATCTCTTCTCTGAAGATCGTTTGCTGACACATCTACGTTCTCAAAGAATCTCTTTTCCACCATCTTGAACTGCCCATAATACACAACATAAAGCATGTTTTCTAGGAAGAGCTTTTGATGATGTGACTCTCTCAAGGAATCCCTTTCCACCATTTCCATCCAGTGGAGATGAAGATGTGAACTCCCGCTACACTTTATATTTCTAGAGATTACTGTGAACTCTCTGATGGTATACAAGGTGTGATCGCTGACTGAAACCCTTACAGCAGACATCACAGATGTACGGCTTCTCTCTGGTGTGGACCCTCTGGTGCGTGTGGAAGTGTGAGGCCTGGCTGAAGCTCTTTCCACACTGCTGACATGTGTATGGCTTCTCTCCCGTGTGGACCCTCTGATGGGCACTGAGTCCCGCACTCCAGCTGAACTCCTTCCCGCACTCCTCACACTTAAATGGCTTCTCCCCAGTGTGGATGATCTGGTGCACCTGCAGGTTTGACCTCTGGCTAAAGGCCTTGCCACATGTTTCACACCTGTACGGCTTCTCTCCCGTGTGGACCCGCTGATGGGCCTGGAGGTGCGAAGCTTGGCTGAACCTTTTCTGACACGCCTCGCACTTGAAGGGCTTCTCCCCAGTGTGGACGCTTTGGTGAGCCTGCAGGTTCGAGGCCTGACTGAAGCCTTTCCCACACTCCTCACACCTGTAGGGCTTTTCTCCCGTGTGGACCCTCTGATGGTTGTGCAGGTTCAAGCTCCAGTTGAAGCGCTTCCCACACACCTCACACTTGTACGGCTTCTCGCCCGTGTGGACCCGCTGATGGGCCTGGAAATACGAGCTCTGGCTGAAGCCCTTCTCGCACACATTGCACCGGAACGGCTTCTCTCCCGTGTGGACCCGACGGTGGCTCTGGAAGCTCGAGGCCGAGCTGAAGGCCTTCCCACACTCGGCGCACTGGTAGGGCTTCTCCCCAGTGTGGACCCGCTGGTGGCTGTGCAGATTGAAGCTCAGGCTGAAGCTCTTCCCGCACTCGCCACACCTGTACGGCTTCTCCTCGGTGTGGACACGCCGATGGGTGTGCAGGTTGGAGCTGCAGCTGAAGTGCTTGCCGCAGTCCCCGCATGTGTACGGCTTCTCCCCGGTGTGAACCCTCTGATGGGCCTGCAGGTGCGACCTCTGCGTGAAGCCCTTCCCGCACTCCTCACACCTATATGGCTTCTCCCCGGTGTGGACCCGGCAGTGGATGTTGAGGTCGGTGCTCCGACTGAAGCCCTTTCCGCAGCTCCCGCACCGGTAGGGCTTCTCCCCGGTGTGGACGGGCAGGTGAGCGTACAGGTGCGAGCTCTGGTTGAAGCTCTTTCCGCACTCCGGGCAGGTGTAGGGCTTCTCCCCTGTGTGTACACGCTGGTGCGTCTGCAGGTTGGAGCTCTGACTGAAGCCCTTCCCACACTCGTGACACCAGTAGCGTCTCTTCTCTGAGCGGACAGCACCCGGACCTGAGACACAGACACCATCCTTCAAGTGTGGGCGGCACGGCGGAGGCAGCTCCTTCCCCACGTGGGCCCGCTGGTGGACCTTCAGCCCGGGGGCGCCGAGGGGGGCGTCTGCACATTCCTGACACAGGCACGTCTTCCGTCCTGCGAGAACGGTGTCACCCTGAAGGGGCCCCACCTTCATGTCCTGACCATAGTCTTTGCTCCTACACGCCTTCTCTCTTTTGCACGCTTTACTGTCACGATGGGGTGAGATGCAATTGAAAATGTCAGCACACGGAGTAAACACACAGACTCCGTTTGTCCTCCGGGTTTGCTTACTCCGTCCCTGCTGGCTCCGGGTCTCACTCAGATGGACTCTCTCCCAAGAATTCAGCATTTTCCCGGCGTGGGAGTCTGAGTCTCCATTTTCAGTCGCACAGGCCTCATTACCTGTGAGTTTCTTGACACAGCTGTCGCCTTCGGAGATGTCTGCCCCACCTGGCCACGGGAGCTCTTGCTGTCTGGCGAACCCCAGACTCCTGGCTTGAATGTTCACCACGGCTTCTGGGCTCCTGGTTAACTTGCTCACGTGGCCTCTGATTTGCCAGCAAGACAGCGCTCTCAAGGACAAGCGCCTCAGACCGGCCTCCGGAAGAGTCTCCCTCTCATTCTGGTTCTTGCCTCCTGAAAGGGCAAGGAGAATAAACTAGTGAGCACATGCTTGTTCAGACAGTTCCAAGTTTTACACAGGGAGATCTCCTTAGCAGTAACTTATTCACAAAGGGAATCACCAGCTTCTATTTCCCATGACACCGGAAGGTCTTTGGTTTACTCAATAGGGAGAAATAAGGCGGTGGCCTCTGGACCCTCAGCCACTGTTGCTGTTGGTGCCATTAAGTCAACCCGCACTCATAGCTGACCCTCCAGTGCGTTTCCAGAGGCTAGAAACTGCACAGAAGACTGCCCATCTTCCACCTGCAGAGCAGCTGATGGATTCAAACCTCATGCGTTTGGGTTGGAAGTGCAACTCCTTACCCATAAGGCTACCAGAGCTCCCTTCTGGCTACTAAGCAGTTGTTGTGGGTTAGAAATGTTGACCTGCCTAGAGGCTGCATTTTCATCCTATTATCCAGTTATCAGGGCGCTCTGGAGGCCTAGTGGGTAAGAAATTGGGCTGCCAGCCAAAGGCAAGTGGTTCAAACCCAGCAGCTATTCTGTGGGAGAAAAATGGCAATCTCTTGTACAATTTACAGCCTCTGGAAACTCGGTTCTAATTCAAAGACAAATAACAACATTTTGTTTTCAGCATGTAAATAAAAACCAGAGTTACAGGCTCCCAGGCTGAAATGGTTCTGCCTGTCATTGAATGACTGAAAGGGTGTGCTGGGGCACCGTGTGTAGGAAGGTGCGCTGCTGACAGTGTCCCTCTGACTGTCTGAATCCACCAACAGCTGTGAGAGAAGAGGATGGATGATCTCTGCTTGTCTGATACACAGCCTCGGGTCCAGCACGCTGCAGGGCAGCTCTGAGTCAGTCCCTACTGGACAGCTTTGAGAGGAGAGGGGATGAGCTCAGTCGCTTCATCATTTAATGGCTGGGAGAAGGAGGATGAGCCCAGAGGAAGCAGAATATCCTGCTGACCTCTGCCTGGAACCTCAGTTAACTCCAGCTTTGGACCTTTCAGCTTTGCTGTTGTTGTTAGGTGCTGTCTAGTCCACTCCAAGCCCCTGTGAACAACAGATCTGAACCCTGTCGTACCCTGAGCCATTCTCACAATCCCTGACACACTCGAGCCTATTGCTGCAGACACTGTGTCAATCCACCTGGGTGACGTCTTCCTCTCCTTTGCCATCCTTCCACCTCTCCAAGCTTGGGTTGTTGGAGAAGAGTGCTGCATAGGCCAAGGACTATCAAACGAACAAACAAATGTGGAGGAAGTGCAACCAGAGTGCTCCTTAGAGGCAAAGATGGTGAACCTTTACCTCACAATCTCAGGCCCTGTTGTCAGAAGGGCTCAGTCCTTAGGAAAAGATCTCATGCTGGGAAAGGTGGAGGGTCAAAGAAAGAGAGGAAGATCCTCCAGGAGATGGACTGAAACAGTGACTGTAACAATGGGCTTGAACTTGGTGAAAATTGTGAGGATGGCAGAGGACAGGACAAGGTTCAAGTTCATTATGTGTAGGGCTGCTATGAGTTAAAGCTGACTTGACAGCACATACTAACAAATAGATTTATAGTTGTCATATTATTTTCAAAAGACTACCTTTACGTGCTTAACTTTTCCTTTGCTTGATGGTTTCCCCCCTTTACAAAACATTCAGTGCTGTTTCTTCCCTCTCTAGCTTTTGCTATTTTGTCTACTCCTAAGAGAAGCCTTTTATGCTTCACAGAAACTCATTCATATAAAAATAGTGCAGATTTTCTGCAGCAATGAACGAACGGAAATCCAAAATCTCTGTAAATCTTCACTACAATTATTAAAATAAAAAAAATTACCCAAAAAAGAAGTAGAAAAAAACATAGTGCAGATTTTCCTAATAGGTACCCACACACTTTCCAACGAAAATCTGTATTCTCTTTAATAAAAACAAAATTAAATTACTTGTTTAAATTTATTAAAAAGGGTAGGGAAAGGCATCCCAAAAAGTGCAAAGAAAGGAGAAAGAAACTTTGCTGTTGACAATGAAAGGTCTCTTCTTTCATGGCTGAAGTTGTTGAATAATAAGGAACTTCAATATAAATCAGGTGAAATATATAACTACAAAGCCTCATTGTACAACCTACACAGTGCTCAACATGACTGACAAGGCTGTAAGCAAAAGAGACAAGCCCACGCTGACAGCTGGAGATTTCAATATCGCTTCCTCATAAATAGGAGGACACGGATATATACTTTGTTTTCTCAGGACAAATCTCTGCTGGAGGCAGTGCAGCCAGGGTGCCCCTTAGAGGCAAGGATGGTAGAACTGCATCTCATATACATAGGGCATGAAGAGAACATGTTGGGAAAGGCAGCGGTCAGAAAGAGAAGACGACGCTCAGCAAGACGGATTGACGCAGCGACTGTGGCAATGGGCCTGAGCATATCAGGACAGGGCAGAGTAAGAGCCGTTGTTCTTAGGGTTGCTGCTACTTGTAGCTAACTTGAGGACATTTTAACAACTTGACTTGGCTTTTATGGAATGCTATGGCCTAGTGGGAAGGAGCTGCGCTGCCATCCCAAAGGCACATGGTTTGAATCCACCAGCTGCTCCTCAGGAGAAGGATGGAGAATCCCCTCCTGTGTGATTTACAGCTTCTGAAAATGCCTGGAGGGTCAGTTATGAGTCAGTTCCAACACAATGTTACATCACAACAACAAAATACATTAAAAAATATTATATAGGTTAACTCTTGGACTGCTAACAAAAAATTAGCAATTTGAATCCACTAGCTGACCCATGAGAGAGAAAGAGGCAGTGCCGTCCTGTTAAGACTCACAGCCTCGGAAACCAGATGGAAGTCACTGTGAGGCGGCACCAACTCTACGGCGATGGGTTTTATATCCAACAGAGCAGGAAGCAAGCTTTTCATGTGCACTTGGGGCCATAAATCAAGCCTCAGTACATGGAGTAGGATTCAAGTCACACAAATATATTCTCTTGACATAAGTGAATTAAATCTGAAATCAAAGACAGTGCTTTAGAAAATCCTCAAATACAAAATTAATAACCTCCTTTTAAGTCAACTGTGGGAGGTCCGGTGGCCTAGTGCTAAGGATTTGAGCTGCCAACCCCTAGGCAGGCAGTTCGAACTCACTAGCCATAGAAAAAAGTTGGATAATCTCCTCCCAAGCAATTTATAGCTTCTGAAAACCCACTGGAAGGTCAGCTATAAGTCAGTTCCAACTCAGCGGCACACAACAACAACAACTAAACTGTGGGTTTAAAATTAAAAAAAAGAAAGGAAAGGAAAGGCAATAGCCAGTAAGTGGATGATCAGTACAAAGTCACTAAGGAAAAGGCAGAGGTAGAGAGGAATATAAGGATGTATGAAAATAAAAGCTACAGGGATGAAGCAAGAAAAGCTTGATTTCATTCTGGCTGGGTGTTGAAATTAATGATACTGAATAAAATGTGTATGAATGAGTGAATGAAAAATTGCTTTGTAAACCTTCACTCAAATCCTAAAGTAAAAATTATTTGTTCCATTTAAAAAGTTAAATAATAAGAGTAGATATCATTAAGTATTTTGAATTTAATTGAGATGAAAACACAAGTTATCAAAATATAAGACACCGTTAATGCAGTACTTTAAGGGAAACATTTATATCCAGAACCAGAATATAAAGGCTAGAAAAACAGAACAAACTGGACTGCAAAAGTAATGGAATAAACATCATAGCAGAAATGACTGGGGTAGCAGACAAAAATAGAATTAAGAGACACAAAGCTGGCTCTTAAACAGAACAGTAAGACTGATAAACCACAAGAGACAATAAAATCTAGAACTGAAAACCTTTCCATGGAGAGAAAACTCCAAGCACATAAGGCTTTGCCTGTAAATTCTACCAAACATTTAAGGAAGAAATTCCAGCAGTGCTGGTGCAGCCCTTCCAGAAGAGCGACTGATCCAAACCACAAAAGCACAGATACTGTTTCCACTAAGATTTCCATTAAGATAAAAATAACAAGTGTTGTTAAAGAAGTGGGGAAACTGGGACACGTATCCATTGCTGGAACACAAAATGGTGCAGTTATTGTGGAAAATACTGTGACAATTCCTCAAAAATCTAAACCTAGAATCCACCCCATTGCCACTGAATCAGAGCATAGCTGGCCCTCCAGAAGGTTTTTGAAACCTATAAACTGCACAGGGGAAGACTGCCCATCTCTCTCCTGTGGAGATTGTTAACAGTGTTAGTTTGCTTTGCTCCACAATCAACACTCTTGGTACCAGCATCCAGGAAATCAAAAGACAAATTGCACGGGGAAAGTCTGCTGTCAGGGACCTCTCCAGAGTACTGAAGAGCAACGATGTCAGTCTGGAGACCAAGGTGTGCCTGATCCAGGCCATGGTCTTCACAATTACTTGCTATGCATCAGAAAGCTAGACAATGAGTAGGGATGATAGAAGGAGAATTGATGCCTTTGAGTTGTGGTGCTGGAGAAGAGTGTTGAATATACCATGGACTGCTAAGAGAACAGTTTTGTCCTGGAGAGGATGAAACCAACCTGCTTCTTGGAGGTAAGGATACATACTTTGGGCATGTTGCAAGGAGGAACCAGTCCTTGGAGAGGGATGTCATGCTTGGGAGGGTGGAGGGACAGTGCAAGAGAGGAAGACCCTGGATGAGATGGATTGATTCAGTGACTGGGGTAATGGGGGTAGGTGTGTCAGAAACAGTAAGGTTGGCTCAGGAGAGAGCAGGGTTCAGAGCTGTTGTACATAGGGTCGTTATGAGTCATAGGCGAATTGACGGCACATAAAACAACAACAACTACAGTGCAATGTCATGCATCAGAATTGATGCATTGCAACTAACAACAAGAACATGGAAAATGAAGGGAAGGTGGCATTTTAAAGAAAGCGGCGGGGGGGGGGGAGCTCTGATGAGATGGATGACATCTAAGCAGAGATGTGACTAAAATAAGAAAGCGAGCATGGAGGTTTTCAGGGACAGGCCACTTAGCTAGAGAATAGAC